GTTTGTTAAGTAAATATGCTTTATGTCTACTGGCTGTTTAATGGTTTTCTATGATAAATATATGGCCCTGATATCGGCATTCCACTCAAAGTCTCACTCTTTGTTGTAGCATTAATCGTAGGGTTCAGTGTTAACAATTCCAACTTTTACAAGATCTCTAATGTTAGCACTATGTCCTTCACCGGGTATCGGCTATAGTGCAAGCTGAGCATAATCATCGGATATTAGTTAACAGTTTTTAGATTACAACTTGTACAAATATTAACGTACACAAAGCAGATGATTCTACTGTTAGGCAATTTCGGGGAGGGGGATAGGATAAATCTATTAGCTGGGATATTGTATTTTCTTTTATTTCAAGATATTTTTTTTCAATTATGTAATGGATATGATCTGCTTTAAATTTTTTAATAAATCAGTGCAATATATATTTTAAAAGATATTGGCAGAGGATTTTTTTTCTTTAAAAAGGCGTCCGACTCCTGTCCTAGAAAATTAAATTGTTGATCTTTTTATACAATTTCGGCCACTCGTATGTTCAGAAAAACCACGATATGTATACAGATGTACAAATTTGTTCGTGGTGTCCAGCTTTAATATATATATATATATATATATATATATATATATATATATATATATATATATATATATATATATATATATATATATATATATATATATATATATATATATATATATATGAAATTGAGAAAATTAAAGAAAAATTAAAGAAAATGGGTTAAGACGGATGTATAGCTACGGAATCTTTTTCCATCTCCACTTTTACCCATTTGCTTTTTGACTGTATGACTAATGTATATCACTTGAAAGATGGGATTCTTACTAGAGTGAACCCTGCCTAAATATAAACGGTTAATATAAGAAAATGTCATTAACGATAAAATACGCATGATGATGCATCAATTATCCTATGCGCGCGCGCGTGCGTATGCACGCGAGTGGTGCGTGGGACTATCTCACTGTAACTGTAAGTGTAGTAAGATGTAGGTCCAATTGTTGGGATTAACAAGACTAATTGATTTACACAAATATTTATTCCTTTTGGAAATAACCAATCCCAAATTTAGAGTTTTCCAAAAATTTGAAGCGCGTCAAATGGTGAGTTTTGGGTAGCTCAAGAAGGATATATTACTGCGGGCTAAGTTAATTTATATGAGGTCTTTCAAACATGCTGCATTTAAAATTAAGTGGACTTAACACACACACACACACACACACACACACACACACACACACACACACACACCATTTTGACGTGTCGTGGAAAAACTCAACACTGACCCCTACAGGCCTCAGAAGAAATGTGCGCCAGCAGGGTGATATCATTTTACATATGTTTTTTTTTTTGTTGTAAAATCCTGCAAAACGGAAAGAATCACACGATCATCTTTCGTTCTACAATGTGTAAGTTCACCATTCCTATCAGCCATCCATAGATGGGAGTACTAGAGGCGTGAAATCTGGAGTTGGGCATTCAAGAAATGTGATAGGTGATTGAAAACAGTTCTGTCATTTTTTTCACAACATTCACAAAGAGTATCGAAACGTATCATGCATGATACGTAGATCCAGATACGAGGTTATCCTGATACATATTTTGAGCTCATTTTCTTGCAAGCGACAAACGACGAGCTTACCTTTGTCATTCCCGTTCAATACCACCATAATTCACTTGTTTCTTAAACTTTTAAATATACAAAATATTTACTTTAAAAATTGCTAAAAATGTAAAAGAAAAATTATATAATATGAAAAAATTGTGTCTACTTACAGGTGTAATTTAATTTATATTTGTACACCATAATCTTAAGTTTGAAGGCGTATCGCACTTACCACGATATGGGGATATACAGAAGGCAGATCAATGATTCATTTGACAGTGTAATGTATCTACATGAACACCAAGGCATATTCCATCGTGACGCAAGTATCGATATTTGTTATGTATATTACTGTATTCTTACACCTATAAGCGATACAGGCGATCAATGTCAAGCAAAACAAATCATCAAGAAAACCGAAACATTTGATTTTACTTTAGTTTTGACAAGAAATTTATTTTCCTGTTTCTTATTTTAAACTCATGTCTGCCCTAAACTCGACAGGTCGGTCAAGAAGATTTTATTTCCTTTTAGTTATTTTTCCTACTTATCATTTCAGGATGTTGGTTATCAGTAAATCTAAGAAGACCAGGATACCAAGCAGTGTACGAGACTGAAAATAAAAATACACCAGGGTGGCAAATGTCTGATTGTCTGAATTGCTCCCTTTAACGAGGACTGGCATCTCACCTCTGTCCGCGTCGGTTCAAGTCTCAGGGTAGGTCTACACGGTACACGGGTTTTCGGAAAAAAAAACTTTGTACTAGCTTCTCTTTTGTTAGTGGTTCTTCTAGGTAGTTTTCCGGGTTTTTCCTTCACTAGTTATACTAGCCGCCATATAAAACCTAACATGTACTGATAGATCTCGTTACGCCTACAACAACAATAAAATGAACCTCTAGAAGGGCTATTCCCCACCCTTTGAAATTAAAAGTTGCCACTCGAGTCTGATATTCTTAATATGACCTAGTTTCTTTTTAATGATTTGAGGGTTATTTTTCAAAATACAAATACATATAAGATTTTTAGCACTAGGTTAAAATATATGTCAAGAAAAAAAAAAATTCCGCTTCGGATGAGGCTGCCGTTTCAGTTAAAGCAGTTTGTGGAGCAGCGATAACAAACTGATGTTAATGAAAGGACCGACGTCGTAAACCCTACAAAACGACGAACTATATGACCAGTAGAGACAATAAAGATCAACACATCACATGCATCTATATGTTCGCCTTACTGGTATACCATTTCCGCTCACGTTCTAACAGCGTGGAAGCTGGAGTCGTTGGTCAAGGGAGCTGTCATTCATGAAAATAGATTTGTTTATGGACAAAGAAGCCAAGTTATAAATTTTCATGACTCACTCAGTGCACGACGAGTACAGGGGGTTGTCAGTAAGACGGTGAAGCTAGTTTACATCGAGGTCGTTTGAGGAAGTGGCGAACGAAAATCATATATATATATATATATATATATATATATATATATATATATATATATATATATATATATATATATATATATATATACATATATATATATATATATATATATATATATATATATATATATATATATATATATATATATATATATATATATATATATATATATATATATATATATATGGCAAATCATACAAACATCAGTTTATTTTTCACAAATGTCTTATATGTTGCTACAACGCAAATTTTTCACGCTGGGTATAAACTCATTGTTATGGAGGGCAATTCTGCCTTGCTTCTTGATTAATTTCGTTTTTCCAGACATCTAGGAAGCGGCTGTAGTTTTGCATTCGTGCGTTGCATTTTAAACTGGCCAGTGTATTTAATGACAATCATATCATCTTCGCTGGCAAAGGTCCCGATATGTTAATCCAATGTATATATCATAAACTTGTATGGCGAAGGTTGATAAAGTATTTCTTGAATGAGGTAACGTTAAGCAAGCACCGGCTGTGAATGTGATTTTGGTTTTTAAAGTAGCTTTTAACAATTTTTCAGTCATATCGCTACGATATCTGCAGTGTAGCAGTTTATAGTGATGTCTAGAACTGGGACATCATGCCACAAACATGTAGTATGATGTCTCACCCAGTCACATTATCATGACACCAGGCCGACCAGTTCTAACACTAGCCTCTTAATGCTGAGTGCCAAGTGAGGCATCTGTTATTGCCATTTTTGTTAAAGCCTTTAGTACGACTCGACAAGAGATGAAGCCCACGATCTCCAGCATCAGAGGAGGACGCTCTAACCACTAGGCCACCGGAGCGGTCGGAAAGCACCTGAATTATCCATCCAATATTATCGGAGATAACGTAGATCTCTATCTCTCTCTCTCTCTCTCTCTCTCTCTCTCTCTCTCTCTCACACACACACACACACACACACACACACACACACACACACACACACACACACAGGTATAAGGGCGGCGCAAATAGAAAAGTTTCATAATGATTGGAGCTTAGCAATACCTTTGTCAGTGAAGAACATCAACTGTTTGTCATATTTTATATGATATTAGGACTAAAAATCTTCTAGAAAGGAAATTCCAATAAGTAGTAGTTTTTTTCTTATTTTAAAAATAAAACAGGAAATGTTAATTGTACCTTAGGTCAAGTAGAGGTCTTTATAATCTTGTTTACCTAAGGAATTATTTTTTCGTGCAGAAACATCTTAAAGCCGAATAAGTCTTATTGCTGTGTTCAGTATTTAGATTTGGGCTCGAATTTTGTATTAAAATTCGTATCTATTACAAAATGCTCAATAATATTCTTGGACAGAAACATGAATTTGAAAATTACAATATAGTGAACTCAAACATGGATATCTAGAATTTTACTATTGTGATTCATCAAAAGACTGTTGTTAAATCACCAGATCACAAGCCATAAGAGGCACATCAACGCCTTCAGCACTGGATTTTAAATCTAACATCACTTAACAATTAGAACTTTATTCATTACGACTGGTAATAAAACTTTTGGGGATATTTGGGATTTAATTCGCAGTACTGTATTATCTTTATAAATTGTTAAATTTTATTAGAGGAAAATTTATTATATTCTAGAATTTTACAAGGCTTGTATGTGTTTTGCTTGCTCTTTACTATTGCTTTAAAACCATACTGACCTGTCATGTGATTTAGACTTTTAACGTAACTATTAACAATTGTTCAGTCATCGCTATGATGCCATTCCATGTGGTAGTTTATAGTGATGTCTCCACTGGGACATCATGCCGCAGACATGTAACAAGATATCCCACTCAGTCACATTATCCTGACTCCAGGCCGACCAGTCCTAACACTAACTTCTTAATACTGAGCACCAAGCCAGGCAGCTATCAGTACCATTTCTGTAAGTCTTTGGTATGACTCAGCCGGGGATTGAACCCACGACCTCCAGCATCCGAGGAGAACGCTCTAACTACTAGGCCACCTCAATGTCCTAATAGTATGTATGTATGTATGTATGTATGTATGTATGTATGTATGTATGTATGTATGTATGTATGTATGTATGTATGTATGTATGTATGTATGTACAGAGGTTAATTTCGAGAAAAAATGGACTGCACACACATATAGGGCTATAAAATCGTCAGAAATCAAAGTCAACATTAAGTACAACACCATAAACTATAAAACGTAAAGATGTTAAAGTTCCATAAAATCAATGTAAAATAAAAAATAAAGTAACTTTGCACCAGGCTGACCAGTCCTAACACTAAACTCTTGATGCCGAGCCCCAAGCGAGGCAGTTGTTAGTATCATTTTTATCTCTTCGGTATGACTCAACCGGGGTTCGAAGCCGCGACCTCCCGCATTCTTAAGCGGACGCTCTAACCACTAGGTCACCTAAGCGGTCTAGTATGGATGTAATTTCTGCATTATTAATAAATGTTCTGGTCTAATCCGGTAACCTGCTCGGGATGGAGGCGTAGGTTGTTGTGTAATGGAAGCTTCAACTTTCACTGTATCTGCTGAACTGTCTGAGCACAGGGACGTCTGACTGGGACAGGAGACTGATTTTACTGAATTAACTCTAAAAAAGATTCGCGATGGACTTTTTCGAATTGATAAGATCAACTATAATAAAGTGTGGTGATGGTTATTTTGGAACACAGAGAGTTGTAAAAATTTTCAACATTGCTCATGATATTTCTAACCGAGGATGAATTCGTATGCAAAAAGGTAGAATAAAGTTTTTTTTTCTTCGAAGCATTAAAGATTTGTTACTGGGACCTAGCGACTACAATATGGATTAGACGGTAGTTTGATAACATAATTCAAGTTCATACGTTCGAGACAAAGAGAAGGTTCATTTGCCGCAACATTGAAGCTTTCTGAAAGGAAAATTCACAATGCACGCAAAGGTCAAGACCCAAACTGTGTAATGTATCAAGCAGAACTGGGTACATCAACAAAATTTGTGCCGCGGCATTTCTCAAGTTACCGCAATACGTACCACCGTGTACCACAATTATGTTAGTGACCAACAATTCAATGTTCTGGGGCAGGAGTTTGATACTTGTTTGTTTACTTCGTTGTCAATAACCGGCCATAGCAAAAAAAAAATAATAAACCCCCCCCCAACATTTTATATCCCTGTTATTATCAGGAAAAATATTAACTATCTTGAGATAATAAAGCACAGCCTCCCTGCTTCCCCCCATTAAATAGCCAGAACCTTACAGTATATGAATTTATACAGCTATATTAATTGTTGCATAATGTGCAATCGAAAGCTGCAACTACACGGTGATGATTAAGCTTACCCTGTGGCCGGTACTGTGAGGGACAAAATGCTAACATTAGACAGCTGATTGGTAAAAAGAGTTGAAGAGCTGATACTGGAGCCAACAATTTTTTAGCTAAAAATTGGTATAATGGAGGAAAACTTTAAGTGGGATGCTCACACCTGGGAAAGATAGTTATTAGAGAGGTACCGGGAAATCTAAAAATACACTCGACAAACAAGAAAGAATTTAGCTGACTTGAGAAATTACGCATAGTTCAAAGAGAAAACAAATGCGCCCCTGATAATCGTAGGATGATTCGCCGTTTCAAAAAGGAATACATATATGTAACACATTCACGTGACTAATGCAGAAGTAAAACAAAAAGTGTTTTTATTTCTATTTTTAATCCGATTATTCCCCCGAAAGTTGGATTTTGCTCGAACCTGTTTCACAATTCTTTGGGCCACCGCGTTGGCATACGTGACAGGTGTCAAACATGTGATTAAATCGTCATATATAGAGTTATATTTGTCATCAGCAATTTGTGACAGATACTGCCGTCTTGTAAATAAAAGATAAATTTAGTGAAATTGTTGTCATGAAGAATGAAAACATGCTGTTAATATCATTAAATTAGTAACAAGATCCTGACGGACAGTGAAAAAGTACCGAGGTACATACCACCAGAAGAAAAAATACCGCTGTAAACCAGTGCACCACGCACGACTAATATCTAGCGTCTGGATGTTAGAGTTACACAAATACAACGACACAGCGTATCGAGTGCACTGGTGTTTAACAGTCGTGTTCCCCACAAAAAGCTCTCGCATGGGAGAACTGTGTTGCAAATACCGTCTGAATGAGGAAACAAGTATTTGATTTATCCGAATATTAACTAAGGGTTTTTTTTGGGCTGAATTATTTGCTTTTTTTTTCTTTTTTGGCTGCGGGGGGGGGAGGGGGTGGAGAGTGTCGGCGGCAGGTGGGATTATTCTGATAAAGTTTACATATTTGAAAACCCAATCGTAACACAAAGCTGCATGGAGAGGTTTCTAAAAGCTAGGTGGACATACTGGTTGGCGTGCGTAACTCACGGCCAAAATTGTACGAATTCCGACCCTAAAATTTGATCACATTGAGTTCGCTAAAATTGTGTGCACGAGGGCAAGGCACTTTATTCAAATCGCATCGCAACTAAATAACCTCCAAACGTTATAAATTCCGGTTTCATTGGAAACGAAACATTTCTAATTAGGAATTATGAGACTGCAAACTACAAGCTAGATTTACTTACCTCCGAAATTAATGAGCCTTACAAACGTGCAAAAAAATTAAAATTTGACAACAAAAGTGCTCCAATAAGCATGTCAATTATACAATTTTGCAAAATCCGCATATTAATACCTTTTTGAAATAATTGTTCTTAGTTTAAAATTACTTTTATCTGATGCATCAGGTTGACTTATGTCAAGAAATTTAACAAAGTAACGGAACCACGTGTTTGTAATTAATTTGTTACTCTTATCATTCAGACGTGACCTTTACAGTTGGTCGTCGTAGGGATAATATAAAAAAAAACTGGATAGTAAATCGCGATAGTAGAGTAGCTTTTATCACCAATTCTAATATAAATGCAAGGGCAATCATGCATAATACGACTTCGTGACATAGTCTGTATTGATCTTTATTCATGCCCAGGTTTTGAATTTTAATTAGGAAAGCTTAACGATCCTACTAAAAAACTAGACCAACATACCCGACTTAAAATATTCAGCTAAATGTATCTTCCTGGCCAAATACGCATACACACAAGGAAGCCTAAATGCAAGGATTCTGAAAACATACAGTAGGTATAATGGTTGGGAACTTGGGTTTGTGGAGGGGGTTATGCCATTTCCCTGAGAAAGATAGGTTATACACAGCAGCCAGCATAATTGGTGGAGGAAGAACCCGGGAAAATTCTGGTAAAAACCACCAGCCAGCGGGAAGCTACTGACAGCTTTCGCACGTACCCACATTGTCCAAGTCCGAGACTCGAACCCACGCCGGCAGAGGTGAGATGGCAATGATGGCGAGCGCTTTAAACCATTCAGCCACCTTATCTCCTCATCAGGTCTCCTAGTACGTATAAATTTGCTGGGATAATGTTGGAACTCACATAGCTTACATAGACTTGTACAATAAGCAGTTTAATGTATGAGTAACACAATCTATGTAAACTACATCCCAAACTTTATTTCATGCTAAATTTACTTGTTTTACTCAAATCAGACAAAATTTATTTCCATAGATAAAAAAATGCATAACATGTCTAGAGTACTCTTTATATTCAAAGCCATCCAAAATCTTGCAAATGTGCTGTTACAAAGCTTAAATTTGTGGTCTGCATGGACAAAATTTTTTAATAGAATATAAAATTCATTTTATTTTAATTTTATAACCACGGGTTTCTTTACCACTGGCGATTCAGTTCTGGATGCGTTTCAGTAGAAAAACAACAATGACAAATGTGCCAGGCACTAACAGTGGCAATACCAATAACTGACAAACTATTTGACCAATATATTTTTCTTCCAATTATTTTAACAACTTGAAATGTGTTAATAAATCAGTGCATCAAATCAAAACTTTTCTCAGTTTTCTATGTCCACTCACCCATGGTAGGACTGAAAGTGAAGAAAATTCAGCAACTGTTCCAGGTGGTGTGGGAGACGTGGGTCAGCCTGCATGCAGTGAAATGGTATGGGGTGGGATGTGTGTGTGTGTGTGTGTGTGGTGTCTGGTTTTGTTTAAATGACTCTAGTGCCTCCTTTTACTCCATCTCACTACTTGCAATGCATAATTATAATAGTGTGCAAAGATTGTAATAATTCATCGAGTTGACAAACAATTCTAATAGGCAATAATTTTATCTACTTAGAGTGACATTTTATATTTGTATTCTATACAAAGACTAATGATTCACACGTTTGACATGACAAACTAATCTTATAGTCAGTAATTTTATTTATTTGTGTGAGTGTGACTTGTTAGATTTGTATTGTATACTAATATTGTAATGGTTCGTAAGGTTGACAAACTATTCTGTTAGCCAATAATTTTATTTACTTGTGTGAGTGTGACTTCTTTTATTTAAATTTTATACCAAGATTCTGATAGCCAATAATTTTATTTATGAAGAGTGAAACTGCCTACATTTCCATTTCATTAAACGATTTTAATAATTCATTGGTTTTACGAGCTACCCTAGTAACAAATCATTTTCTGCCCATAAGAGTGTTACTTGCCATATTGTTTACTTTTTCTTAAGTTATTAGTTAAAAAAATTCATCGTAGTCATAATGTGCATTTTTTTGCTTTCACAAATGTTCCGTTGAAATGTATGTATTTTGTATTCTACTTTTTAATTATTTTTGCTTTACTACAAGGGGAACTACTCTTTATAACCTTAAACCTGTCATCCTCAATACTAAACATTTTGGGTTACTTCCACTGGTTTATTGGAGTTAAGCACATATAAATTATCTTGTTACATAATCTATGAAATGAAAACTTGCTAACTTTGCGGAATTCATTAATATTCACAAATTTTGCTCATAATATACATTACTAGCTATCTTGGCATAATTCTGATTGTGTTTAATAATAAAAATCGTATTAAAAAAATAGACAAACATGGTGTGATGTGTCGAATTTTGAAAACTTAGAAACATTTGTTAAATGAATTTTATCAAAGTAAACTTAATTAAAGTAGAAAGGACTAGAGACAGTTATGATTATTTTCATTTCATTTCTGAACGTCAAAGGAATTAGTTCCACACGACGAAACTTGACCGAGTCATATGCTATGGTACAAGAGTATGACAAGACTCTTCCCAAAATCAACCGGTTAAAGGGAGAAGCTTGGCAATATTTGATTGTTCAAAAGAACTTTAATTACGGCATGATTAGCTGTCTTGACAATTGCCAAAAAGAACGTTAATTACGGCATGATTAGCTGTTTTGACAATCAAAAATTCTACGGAGAAGATTTAGGAAACAGTCGATCCTGATTAGTTAATAGGGATTTATAGGCGTAACTCTGTAAGGAATTAAGTGTTTTGCTTTGGAAAAATTCTCCAGTCTT